GAGATTGGTGGCTTTTCAGGCATAATAAGGATTCAGTTAGGGACTGCAGAAGTTCATGCTGTGTGGATGGAGTCTCCTGAACAAGAAGAGAAGCCATTTGACCAATATAAAGAAATCAATACACATGCCAGCTGGTAGAACGTACATGTACTTTTAACCAGAGTGGAAATCAGTTATGAGTTCATAAAAATGAGATCCTTAGGGGTTTCAGTTCATAGTACATGTCTAGAAATATGTTAACAACAGAAAACCAGTTTGGTGTGGGAGAGAGCATTGTATTACAAGGCGAAGTTGAAGGAAACACCCAGCCATGCATTAAAAGCACATCATTGAGACTCTGGCAAAACTTAGCTTTGAACCACTAAAGATATTCCTCAATTCAACATTATATTTAGGAGGCAAATCATCCATAAAATGTATTGCAAATGCAAAGAAGTAAGTTGGAGATTCGTAGCTGTTTTAACATGAAACTTCGTGGCTATTCCAGGAAGAATAAGAGCTTCCTGTAGAAAGAAACTTTAAAAAAGCTAGTCAAACATGTTAGACAATTCTACATTACTTTCAGTCCTAGGGATTGGACCCCAATGAAGGATCAGCAAAACAAACAAACAAAAAAGCAAAATCCACTTCATTTGCTTGGGAAAACTCCTTTTAATTTTTGACCTCCATGGGTTAACAAGTCACAAATGACTGAATATTGCAAAGAAAGCGTAGACTATGTTGAAGGAGGTCAACAGGAAGAGAGGAAGGAGAGAGTTTTGAGGGGCACACAACTAGACTGGTGGATAAAGTATTGAGATACAGCGAAGACCAAGCCAACCTGTGTGCTGAGAATCGGGAAACTTTGTCTAAGTGGCTGGAAGAGGCCATGTGAGCTGCTCTGCCATTGAGCAGTTTGAAGGAAAGTTCTGGTTCTGGCCGTCCAATCAGAGCCCTTCATGGAATGTTTCCCCAGCCAGGCCCTCCTGGCCCTCCCCTCCCCCACTGCAGAATGTCTTGGGCCCAAGATTCTGAGGTTTGAATTCAAACTTCACCTTCACCCACTCGGATCCTGAGCGTCTGCGTGAGCAGTTCACTCACTGATCCTGGTCCTGATTTTTGCCGTTGTGAAGGCTGATAAACTGCAGTGGCCTCTGGCCTCGGCTATGGCGATGGCGTCAGGAGGAGGTAAGCCTGTGAGGGTGTCTGTGTATGTGAGAAAGTCTCTGTCACCCTGAAATCCTTTGGGTTCATAGGTACCCTGACTGGGAACACCATGTTTTGAGTGGGTGAAAGAGGAGAAAGACCTGGGCTCCATAGATATCTCACCTGTACAGCAAAGGGAGCCCAGGGGAACCTGAGGGGTCTGGGAGGGCATCCTTGGAGGTGTGTCAAATTACCTGGGGGAAGGTCATTGGTATGGACTGAGGGAGGCAGCAGGCATATGGCTGCTTTATATGTGAGTGTCCTGCTGGTGGATGGGGGAACAGCGCCATTTGTCATGTGTCTGGAGGGACTGTTTTGTGGTGTCACAGGCATGCTGAGTCCATGTCTCCTCCTGTGCTCTAGAATAAGTTTAGAAGTAATTAGACTTGGGCTGAGCTCAACCAGATGTGGACAGCTCAGCACAGATGGTCCAGGCTGAACCTTGTTGAGTGAGGCTGTCTGTGTGTAATTCTGCCATGATGAATCCTCCCCAGAGGTGGACTGCAAGTGACTAACTGCCACAGTCAGAGCCTGACATTTCTGAAGACTTAAACTCTCTGCTGGCTGAGCCCAGCAGCTGTCTTGGGTCAGCAGGTTGGGAGACAGGTGACTTCAGCGTAGATACGATTCAGATTCCTGAGTTATTCTGGATTGTTCTCATTTTGGTGAAGTTTGTTCTTCCATGGTCTGGCATCTCATGGTGCAGCCCCAGCAAGCATTTCAGCTCTGAGGTGAAGATTGATTGAGAATTGGATACTTCCCTCACAGACAATGAATAAATGGATGTGTGAGTCTATGTGTGAGTTTGTGAGAATGAGTGTGTGTTTCTGTGTGTGTTTCTGTGTGTGTGTGTGTGTGTGTGTGTGTGATATGTGGGGTTTTCCTGAGAAAAGTCTGTGAAGGTCTGTTCCTTGAGGAGAGGTGGAGTGTACTGAGGCAGAAAGAGCATCGTCAGAGCAGTTGGAGACATCAGGGACTCTGTCCTGAGCATGATGCGCACAGGCTCTGGGTCGTCTCTAGTGCGAGTCTCTGTGTGAATTCCACCTGAGTAACGATGGTGGCAGACAATTTTCTTTCCTGGCACCTGGTTTATGCCTGATGTTAATTATCCTGTATCTGTCTCTGGGATAAAGTCTTAGATTATTTAGAAGATGTTACCAATTTTCAATCTAACATGATCAGCAGCTCCAGAACTCTGGAAACATCCCCAAGTGTCTGACTGGTGAAATCTCTGGCCATTTCCACACCTGCTGCCACCCCTGATGAAACTCTCCCAGAACACAAGAACCCTAGCCTTAGGATGTCCACGAACTATAACCCAGCGGGGGGGGGGGGGGGGGGGGAGTGATGGCCTGTGCCAGGGACTCATGGCTGAGACAGGGCACACCACCTCATTCCTTTCAAAGGGCCTGATCTAGAGATGGTTGGGCCAGTGAGGCCTTGCTCCCCCGCACACCGTCTCCCTCTCACTCCCCTCCCTCCTCTCCACAGTGTCTCCTGTGCTGCTCCCAGAGATGACCATGAACCTTGGGGTCTCCGGCTCTGCTTTCCGGGTCTTGCCCTTTCTCAATCCAGGGCTCCCCCAGCCACCCCCCTGGGAGCCCATCCAGATGCCCCCTCTGGTGACCTCAGCCATTGCTCCTGGCAACCCTCTGGTACTGTCACCTTTCCCCATGATGCCTGTGGTGGCAGGAGCTGCCAGCCATGGTCCCCGTGTTCCTGAACCTTGCAAGGTCATCATCCAGGTCAGCCCTGAGGTGGGGCTTGTGGAATCAGCCCAGAACCAGCCTGTCATCCTGACACAGGCTTCACTCAACTGGGGGGGCCCAGAAGTTCCATCTGCCATGAATGGGCATCCTGCACCCATCTACTTGGTGTCATCTGTGCAGGAGACCGTTATGCCGACCCCAGCTACTACTGTCACCCAGGCTGGGACAGGAGACCATCCTCCTCAGGCTCCACTGCCAGTGGCCCAGGTGGTTCCCATCATCCTCCCATCCAGTGGTGGACCACTGCCCCAGTGGGTTTATGGGGATAGTGGTCCCGCTACCACCCGGAACCAGGCATCACCTGAAACCTCCAGCAGCCCCTGTAGTGTCTACGAGAACTTTCGGCGCTGGCAGCGATTCAAGGCCCTGACCCGGAGGTACCTTCCTCAGACTCCGGACACTGAGACTGTTTCCTGCTTCCTCATGTAAGTCCCTCGGGTGTCCTAGACCTAATGGGAGCTTCACAGGAAGGGACTGGGGTGACCCCCAGGATAGGGTCCATGACAGCATGACCTCAGGAATGCCACCCTGGAGTTTCGGCTCAAATCCCATAGTGACCAATCATGCCCTAAATCTTCAACTCAGTCTGCTCATCAGGGTTGGTCCTGACCTGTGGTCTGTAGGACAGACATTATGTTCCTAAGACCAGACACAGCACAGATGCACCAGGGTTCAGACAGGCCATGACTGCTCGGCCTTGGCATCTCATGATGTATTCCCAGAGCTGAGGGATCACACCAACATGGCCACTGAGCTGGGGTGTGGGAGGCAGAGTCAAATCTGCACGGGGAGACCTGGACGCCATCCGGGGTCTAGGCATGTGTGTAGGGCAGCGGGGGCTCCCGGCAGATACAGACCCTGACCGAGCCTGTCCTTGCAGCCCTGTGCTGCGCACCCTGGCCCGCCTGAAGCCCACCATGAGCCTGGAAGAAGGCCTGCGCATGGCCCTGCGGGAATGGGAGGGCACGAGCAATTTTGACCGCTTGATCTACTACGACATGGCTGCCAAGTAAGTCAGTCCTGGGCAGAGAGTGGGGGTTGGGGCTGGCTGCGGGACCGGGCTTCAGGGGCTGCTCCCAGATAGCCAAGGCGTCCTTGGCATCCCCGGGAGGCCCTTCCCCTGTGGAAGCTTGTCCCTCCTTTGGTCGGGACATTTCTCCCCACCCCACTCTGGGGCTCCTGACCACAGTGTGAGGGTCACAGTCCCTTATTTTCTGTGACCCTCAAAAGGCTGATATGGGGAATCACTGGGGGCGCTGGGGTCTGTGCCCACCCATTTTCCACCCTCCTGAGGTCTTAGCCGTGAGTGTTCCCTGTCCCTGCCTCATCCAGTGTGGTCCAGACCAGCCCATCTCAATGGGGTCTGTGCTCCCCATACCAGGTTCATGGAGTTTGAGGCTGAGGAAGAGATGGAAGCGCAGAAGCTGCAGTGGATGAATGGAGTACAGGGCCTGCCAACCACTGCCCCACCCAGGCCTGAGCCTCAGGGGGCTCCAGGCCCACCGCTAGGCCAGCAGCCAGGTACCGACCCTGTTTCCCAGCTAATTTTCATAGGCCCAGGTAGGTGCTAGGGTTCCTGCCCTGCAAGGGAGCCTTCACTCTCCCGGGGACACCCAGGCCTATGCTCAGTGGACCCCTGTTCCTGGGTTTCTCCCTCTCCCTGAACACATCACACTGCCTGAGGGCGTCAGACTCACCTTTGAAGTGGGTTTGGAGACCCTGGGGACACGGTTGACCCCTCCTCTCTTTGAGGGTCTCCTCATCCCTCACGCAGTTATGGGATTCTATTACACACAGATATAGACACACACCTGACCTGACCCATCCCACAGGTATCAGTCCCCATTTCTGTGCTCAGTGCTGTGTGTCTAAGGGCAATGGACACGGGGTCCCCTCACGTCCCTCTCCCCTTATTCCTCCTCAGCCTGTGTCCCTAAGAAATCCAGACCCCAGGCTCAGGCAGCCTGCCCCAAGACGCACAAACCACAGCGGGCCCCCAAAAGCAAGGCCCCCAAGGAGATCCCCCCTGAGACCGTGCAGGAGAACATGGATATCATGGACGAGAAGCTAACGGCCCCCGATACAGTCTGCGGGGCGCCCCTTGGCCGAAGGGCAGCGGGCAGGAAGGAGCAGCAGGAGGAGGCCGGGACATGCCCTGAGACGGGGCTCCTGAGCTATGTGTACGATCTGTGCTCCCAGGAGGTCTTTGTCACCAAGGTGGGTTTTGGGGACTGCTGTAGGGTGGGGAGGGCGCAGGGTTGCTTCTGTCCAGGGCTTGGTAGTGACATATTTCTACTTGTGTTTGTGTGTATGTGTGCACATGTGTCTCCCTGTGTACAAACATTGGCCCTAGTTTGTGAATTTCTGGGTTTGGTCGATGTGTGAACATCTCTGTGTGTCTCCATCTGTGTGTACTGTGTGGGCTCTGCGCAGAAACGTGTGGATACATGTACATGTGCCTAGAGGTGGAAGAGTGTGTGTCTTTGTGTCATGTGTGTACATGACAGAGACTATGTGAAACCGTCCAAGACTCTGCACTGTGCTGAGAACGGGTGTGTTTGCATCTTAATTCCTTCCTAGTCCATATGAGAACCCTCACACCCGCTTTCCCCTCCCAGGTCGAGGCAGTCATTCACCCCAGCTTCCTGGCGCACCTGCTCTCCCCAGAATCCCAGCTGGATCTCCTGGACCTGGCTGAGGAGCTCGAGGAGGAGGAAGGACTCACCCCCACACAGGTGAGGCACATAGGTCTCTGGGGTCCATGCAGGACCCAGGGGAATAATGTGAGGGTTTCCTGGAAGGCAATGGGTAGCGGCCCACGGCAAACAGGAGGCATTTTGCATGTGATTGCTGGAAAAGAGTCCCTGCAGGGGACACAGGGGACAGGTCCCAGGGCACTCAGAGCAGCAGGTGGGTCATGAGTCAGTGAGGGGCGCCCAGCACTGGGGCCTAGTCACTTGGTGCCCTCCCTGCCCAGGCCATGGCCAGAGGCCTCCCTTTGAGTCCTCAGGGAGGATGAGGACGTGAATATGGGGTGAGGGAAGAGTTGGCGGGGGTGAGGGCCCTTAGTGGCCCTTAGTAGAGATCTGGGTTTTCTACTCTGAGAGGAGTCGCGGTCACTCTCTGTCCCACCCTGCACCCCCACATGCCCACACTCTCCTTCCTCCCTTCAGATTGTGGAAAAACGTCTACGGACTGCGCTGGACAAGGAGGTCCAGAAGGCTTGTCCCCAACACCAGCTGACTCCAAAGGACTCAAGTCCATCTGAGAGTGCAGGAGGTCACTGCAACTCAACCCCTACCTGGGGCCATAATCCAGGGGCCAGCGCTGAATCCTGTCCCCCTGAGACTGACTTTGGACACGCCTCAAGGCCTGTGCAGGCTGAGGCCACTGGGATGGCACCTCGAGCCTCTGTCCTCTCTTTGGGGAGCCTGGAATCCCCATCCCTTCAGGCAGAACAGGCCCCCTGTCCCGGCCTCGCTGCCCCTACTCTGGACAGCAGTGTCTCCCTCATGCTGGGAGAGGCCCCTCCTGGCCAGGGGCCACATGGGGCAGCAGAGGGCTCCAGTGAGGAGGAGGAGGAGCTGCCCTGCCTGGCCTTCCTCCAGGCCTCTCAACACAGCCTTCTGCCCTGGGGCTTCCCCATGAGCCCTGGCTCAGACACTGGCCCCCGCTGCCCGAGGGCCTGGGGGGCTTCTCAGACCCAACCCACTCAAAGAAGGGCCTGCAATCCTGCTGCCCCTGCTACTGCCCCTTCCAGGAAGCATCCTCTGTGTGGGAGAGCAGGACTGGGCACTACTGAGAAGACCCCCTTCCCTGGGGAGCACCCCAGGGTGTCTGGGGACTCAGCCTTGACTGTGGAGCTGGTGGGCCCTTCCCTGCCCCCAAAGAGAAGGTTCCAGCCTGCTGTAGCCCAGAGGATTACAGTACAAGATGGGTACAGCATCCAGTAGGACACCGGGGGACTCCCTCCCGAGCCTGGCTGCCCCTAGCAGCCTTGTCTTCCACCTGATCTTCATCCAGCTAGGACTTCTCTGTATTGTTTGGCGGGCCCAGTGGCGGGGTTGTGCTGGAGCAGCCCCTTTGTGTCATTGTGTAAATAGTTAATAAATTTCATTTCATTGAAAACACTCTTGGTATCTCCTGTCTCTCATGCTCCTTGGACAATCCTGAGATGAAAACAGGTAAGGGCGTTAGAGGGGTTGGGTCCTGTGAGACATTGTGCTCCCTGGAGCAGGGAGGAGTCCTCCCCACCCTTAGGGAGATGTGCTCAGTTTCACCAGACCCACCCAATTCTGTGGACATACGCGAGGCTCAAGTTTGCTGCCTTTTCCTTGGAATTCATCAAAAAGCACATCAAAGATTGAGGGCATCCCGCTGGGAAAAATCACAGCATGGGAGAGAGCAACACAAAGGAGCTCTCACAGATGTGGGAGACAGACTGTTTCTATTTCTTCCCTGAGTCCGTGGGTCACACCCAACAGTGACTGCTCTACAGAGCTCCTTGTTCTAGGACTCACTCCTGGTATAGCTCAGGGGACAACGTGGTGCTAGACATCAGTAGAACGAGGGCTGTACACATGCAACACAAGCACCTTAATGTGTATACAATTTTCCCAATTCTCAACATTCAATTTGATTTGTTTTAGTGTCACACAAAATGGTTGCTGGAGCTTACTCTGGCTCTGCCCAGGAAGTAATCCTTTCTGGGCTCAGGGGACCACATGGAGTGCCAGGAATCAAATCCAGGTTGCCCATTTTCAAATCAACTGCCCCATCAGCTGTACTACTTATTCAGTTCCAAAATACCTTTTAAAACAATTTCACCACACTTTAAAATAGAGCTTGTTTCCTCAGAAGGTGTCCATAACCTCCTCCACTCAGCCATCACCCTTTCTCTTCCCATTGATCTTTGAGTCTTGAACCACATATTCCTTTCTTCCTCTAGATTCCCACACTCTGGCCATCTAGCTTTCTGTGGCCTCTTTCACTGAGAACAGCTTTTCCTGGTCCACCTACATCAGCACATGTCCACAGTTCAAACGTCAACTACAGAATCATATTCCATGTGCAGTAGGGCTACATCTGGCAATTCCTTCAATGGTTGATGAACAGTGAACTTCTTTCTACTCCCTTGTACTAGCTAACAGCAGGTACACAGATTTTAAGTGAGGTTCTCAAATAATTTTATTGAGAACGCAAGCCTGGGAAAAACCCTCTCACTGCTGGCAAAGAACACCAAATTTGGGATTGTGGAGTAGAGGTTTTATGCACTGTGTAATGCAAACCAAGCACGAAGGTTCTGATAACTGTATTAGGGATGCAACGATTTGTGTTATCCAGAGAACATGTGTCCTCTCTTGGTGTTTTCTTTGCACTAAGACAAACAACAAGGCCCTTAAACTTTCCTTGTCTGTCCCATCTCGACTTCTGGAACTGAGCATGGTGTCCTGAACCTGCAGTTTTCTTTATCCCTGATAGTTCAGGATCTATATTGCCTTTGGTGCTCTGTTACTTTCTGCCTATTTGGAGACAGTTCAAAATCACAGGTAGTTCCTGTCAGGAATGGGTTTTTTTTGTTACGCAAAATAATTTTTTAAATTTTATTTTCATAAAGTTATTCACAATAATGGACTACATTCAATATTTCAATCCCACCAACATTAAAACATCTCAACACCATTATTTCTAAGCTTACCACCACCACCACTCAAGCCTGCCTAAGAGACAGATACTTTATTTTGTATAGCTTATTATGAATAGCATGAGAAATCACATGGCCAAAAAAGTGGCTGCACGCCCTGGAATTCTACAATTTTAAATAATTAGTGTCCGAAGAAATCTCTGCAGCTAGCTGCTCGATTCTGAGATTCATTTTGGAGTCTCTGGATCATGGCCATTACTGAGCTTAAATGGCACAAGGAGGAAGGCAGTTCATGAGCGTGACATTGAGGCGAGGAGATGGGAAGGAGCAGCTGTATCTGATCCCTTGAGGACTAGAGTTAGCAGTCACTGGTCTAACATACCTGGGTTTTCCATTGCGCTCTGGATTCGTAAGGGGCAGGTAGAGGGACAGCACCTGCCCCTGTCTGAGGCACCCCGGTGAAATCGGCCTGCTGCAAGATCAGGAGACATCTCTTTAGCAAGCGTCCTGGTTCTGAGATTCATTTATTGTTGTGAATGATTTCGGTAACCTTGAGGCTCCTCCACAGCACCAGTAGCTTCTGATGTGAAATGGCTCAACATGCCTGATCATGCATTTGGTCCCTAGAAGCAAGAACAGTTCCTGGGAACCACACCAGTTTTGTTCTTTAAAACTCTTTAAAACTCTTAAAACTTTAAAACTCTTTAAAGCTCTCTAAAACTGTGATCAGTGTGGTAGAAATGAGGTATATCCAGACTCTATGGCACAAATGAAACAAGGCAGTCAGACCTTTCTACTGCTCCTGCATGCTCCTTTATGGGCACACAAAGTCCAGCATCCAGACTTCAGAGCAGATCAGCTGCCCTGCAGGGGACCCAGATACAGCAGCGGGGCCTGTGCTCATTCCCATAGACTAGCCCATAACCTCCAGGTTGTTCCTGTTGGCGAGCTCCTTGCCACCTAGCCCAACCCCAGCAACCGCTGGGAGTTTAAACAACACTGACGTGTCTGGAGAAAGCTCTGCTCTCCACTGGGGAGCACTGAGGAAGCCCTGCAGTCACAGTCAGGGAGCTGAGGGGTCCCTGGGCTCTTCCTCCTCCATGGAGCAGACCCTAGAGGGGCAGCCGGGTTGTGGAGCTGGGTTGGATGGAGGAGACTCTGAGGTGGTGGTGCTGATAAAGGACCTGAAAAGTTGGATCAAGCATCTGGAAAGCCCTGGGGACCTGGCTTTTACCTGTTAGAGCAGGGATAGCAGCTTGCTGAGACCAGCTCTTCATTCCTTTGAAGAGGGCGGGGAGTGAGGGTGGAAACGGGTCTATCTGGGGCTTGGGAGGTATTAACACAGTCTGCTCCCAAGAAAATGCACATCTCAAAATCCCTGGAGAGGGGACCATGTTTTATGTGACCAGGATAAAGATTGAGGGGTGCATTTTCATGGGATAGGTGGAAAACAATGGTCTCATGATCAGGCCTTGAGGATCCTGGAGCCCCAGAAGAGTCTCGCTGTTTGTGTCAAGTTCTTGGGATTGGGTTGTGTCAGACTAAAGCCATCCCAGAGCACATGCAGGTACACCTGTGACCGTGCCTGGAAAACACTTGCAGGTGTTCCTTGCATTGATGGTGCTTCAGCAGGCTTTGGTGCCCTCTTTGCCCAGGTCCTGTGCTCTCTGTATGTGTTGTCTCCAAAACAGGCCACCTGGGATAGGCTCCGGAAAAGGCAGCAGCCTCTGCAGTGGCCTAAGGGCCATGTTCCACACCCCACAGTTGGAACAGCTCTGGTGAGAGTCCAAACTGCACATCCAGGTGTGGGCTAGGTAAGGGCTCAGGCACTGGATCATGGAAGGGAAAACAAAACCCGCACCAGAGCTAGGTGAGAAGAGTTTCTGCAAACCTGTGTAGGCAGGTTCAAGCTGTGCAGGGGCTAGGGACTTACATGAGTAGATGGTCCTCAACTCTGGGCCAGAGGAGAAGTCCTTGCGAACCCTTACTTGATGGGGCTGGATCAAACCCAGGTTCTAGTAGAAACTTGGTATGTGTATGACTCTAGTTATGGCCAGCCAGATGGAGGCCAGTGTTAATCCAGCCTTCTACAGAGGGGACTTGGTGTGGTCCCAAGAGGAGGTAATGTGTGCCCTCTGGCAGGACATGCACTCTTGGCCTCCCTGCGAGTTGCAAGGCTGGGCTCTGCTGAGGGACCTGTGACTCAATGCTGCCCAGGAGACACAGGGCCTGGATACATGCCACCCGGTGGCTGCCTGCCAGGCTGCTGCATGCTGGCTCCAGAGCTCTATGGGTGGCAAATCGGGCTTGGTTTGACCCCTACACCCTGGAGAAGGAAGCAGTGCTATGGGCCTCAAAGGTGTTTCCAGCGATCAGACCCATTGACAGGGACAGCTCAAACAAAAAAACACAAACGGGACTTCATAAAATTAAAAAGCTTCTGCCTAGATAACAACAATGGTCTACAATGAAAGGACACCAGACTGAACTGGAGATAATGTTCATGTGCAACACATCAGGTAAATATGAATATCCAAGATCTAGAAAGTACTCAAGAGGACTCACCCCCCTCCCCCA